GTGACGGCGGGGTTATGTAATGTAATCTTGAGTGTACATATTGTTCCTCTGTAATACAAAGGACCTGTAATAGTTTCTCTGCATTGGATGATCACAACAAAAATCTTCTTATGCAATTATATAGATGTTTATGGAAGTTTAGTTCTGAACATCTTGAAGTTTATTTCTAGGTTGTATTTTTTGTGCTGCTTATATATCATCTGCAATTTGCTTCACCCTATTGCAGCCACAGTGCCCCATTTTTACCCTTTATTTTTCTAGAAGTCAGTGCTCTTCTTAAATACTGGTTGCATGTGATTTGGATCTTAATTATCTTAAAGAAGTCCTGATTGTTTTATCATTATGATGCTTGGGTTGACTTTTGTTGTTTCCCTTCTTTCATCTTGAGCCTCATATTACAATTTCATCATTTTATAGTTCTTTTCTTAATTTTACGTGAACGTCCAACCTTTACTCTTCCGCATATCAGCTTGTTGATGCCTCCATATGCTTGATGTGATGAATCTTTTTTTTGAAGTGATTTCAATGTAAGTTCTGACGAACATCATACATCTTGAAGAAACAAAAACAACCTATGAAGTCACAAACTTGATCTATTTGAGCTGATCCTAAGTTCATGCTTGCTTTGTTCTTTTTTGATCAGTTGATTCAGTGATTATTTATTGATTTTGTCTTCCATCATTGGTTTTTCTTAGAATGTTAATGAGCAGGAAGCTGAGCGAGAGTACAGCCTTGCTGGCCGAGCACTGAAAGAAAAATAGTGAGTATACTTTGCCTCTTTCATTTCATCATTTTGGTCTTGTATGTGGCTAATTTGTTTCCCATAAACAGCATGAAGCTTCGTGCCAGACAGAAGGAGCGAATTGCAAGAAGGCATACAGTGGGGGTTCATTCTTCTGCTGAGGGACTCGAATCATTAAAGCAATCACCTGTTCTTGATAGCAAAGAAGTGCAATGTGATGATTCCAATGCAAATTCAGAAGATTCAGTTGAAATAGATCCTACGCTCACTCCATATGACTCCAAATATTCTCAATCTTCCACATTTTTTCAGGGAAGAATCTCAAGCCATGGTAACAAGAGATATCGTGGTAGTCATCTTAGTATTTCATTTAGACCTCCTGTTCATACTTCTGATAGTAATCCATCAAACAACCACTTCCAAGACAGTTCCACCAATTGTATTCCATCTAGTTCTTTTTTGCCGGTTTTGGGGTTATGCGCTCCAAATGCTAATCAGCGGAATTTAGCAACTCGGAGGAATTCAACAACTCAACATTTTAACTCTCCCTTTAGCCAACCATCATCTAATCATATGCAGGAGTTTCCAAGTGCACCTTTTATCAATGGGGGAACTTCGACTGACACCAACGTTGTTGATCAAGAACCTACAGATTTGTCGAAATTGTTAGATACACCGAGTGAGGCGCTGCATCGTCGCCTAAAGAATATCATTCCAGACAGCTACTTTCCGTTTGGACCCGTTCGTTCTGATCTTCTTGTTCTTTATTTTTTATCATTACTGCGTGTGATTTGGTTTTGATAGAGAAAAGTGTCAAAATGGTCCACTTACTTTCAGAATAAAATGACCCATGTAAATAGTCAGTGGTTTATTTTGATGCTTAACTCATTTTTTATTTCTTTACTTTTGTTACATGCTCTGTGATACGTTATGCTTCCTCGTATGCAGCCACTGCTTCCAACCTCAGGAAAATTTTTATCAGATCCTAGCGAAAGTTTGGATACTTCTTTCTCCTCATTTAGAGAAAAATTGGGTCTTCCCAGTTTAGTTTCTGATGAAGTGCCTCCTCTGAAGTTTTCAATTCCATCCAGAAGTTCAAGGAAACTGCAAACAGAATTCTTACCAAACCTTTCACTCTGCTCAAATATGAAGCTTGGAAATGATTCTGGTAAAGACGTGTCAATCGTACCTTTAGTGCCAAATTATGGAAAACATCTCAATGAGAAGCTTAAGCAAAAACAGGTGATGCCCGATTTATCTCCAATGCTGAACCTGGGTTTGATGCAAACTGGACACTCGATGCCAGAAAATCACTTGCAGGTTCTGGACAACTCAATGATTAGAGCTCAATTTGATGCACACAAATTTATAAAGAAGGGATTGAAGTTGGATGCATGGTCAGAAGATGAACTAGATGCCTTGTGGATCGGCGTACGCAGACATGGAAAAGGTAATTGGGATGCTATGCTTCGAAATCCCAAGTTGAAGATTTTAAAGAACAGATCTGTTGAGGAGTTGATTTTTAAATGGAATGAGGAGCAGCACAAGATAATGGATGGACCTTTACCACGAACCAAAAATTCCAAATCTGCATCATTTCTTGGTCTCTCTGATGCAATGATGGCACGGGCATTGCATGGTAGCAAATTTGTAGGTCTTGGGGCAGAACTGCCCAAATTTCGTTCCCATCTTACAGATATTCAGCTGGGTTTTGGGGATATGCCTAGCTTTCCTTTCCTTGAGCCATCTAGTCAATTGGGAGTGGCTAGTGAAAGCCTTCCTCCTCATCCTATCTGGCCAGGCAACAAGCTTGAATCCAATTGCATTGATAATTTTTCTGTAGGATCTATGGATAGATTCGAGGAGCCAAATCTACCTTCGGAGCTATCCTTTAACCCAAATTCTTTTTCAGGTGGTTCTGGAGCTATAGCGATGAATTTATCAAGCGGTTGCTGTCCACCTCAAACAGATTATATCTCAGCTAGAAATAAGCGAATGAAGCTGCCATCTTTATTGGAAAAATCATTGAGTTTATTGCGGGAAACCCAAAATATTCACTGTGATGGATCCAGTAGGGGAGTGCTGCCTGATGGTAAATGGAAACAAGTTACCTCAAAAACTGTGACTGAGGATGGCAGTTTTCCTGGCCAGTCAAAAGAGAACAAGCTGCCCCATTGGCTTCGAGAAGCTGTCAGTGCTCCAAGGCCCCCAGAGGCTGCTCTGCCTCCATCTATTTCAGCTTTATTACATTCAGTTCGTGTTATTTATGGCGAAGACAAACTCACAATCCCACCATTCTTAATTCCTGATCCTCTTCCTTCACTTCCTAAAGATCCAAGAAAAAGATTAAGAAAGAAAGGGAAGCTGAATAGATTACGGAAAGAAATTCCTGAAAGTTCGAACCCTACAGTAAGTGCAGATATTTCTGCCTCATGCTCTATTCCTGCAAAATCACCCTTTATGGGATATTCTGTTCCTTCAGCATCATCACTGGCACCATTTTCTTTTGTTCCCGCACCTTCATTGACGGAAAATGTCATTTCGTCAGCACCATCATTGATGTCATCCTTCACTAATTCAACACTGCCATTGATGCCATCTTCACTTCCTCCAGTGACATCGAGGATGCCCTTCAAATTTCCTTCTGCTCTGCCAATGATGTCATCCTCCATGCACCAATCACCAACATCGATGCAATCCCCTGCTTCATTACCAACAGCATTGCCATCCTCCATTCTTCCAGCATCAGCGTTGATGCCATCTTCTATTTCTCTGCCTCCATTAATGTTTTGCACGAGTTCTTCAGTATCTCCACCGTTGCAATGCTCTATTCCTGCAGAACCACCACCTATGCCATGCACTTTTCCTCTAGCATCACCATTGACAGCATCTTTACCTGGTCTCCCAAGAAAAGAAACAGGCTTCATCCTTCCTTCTCTGAACTTGAATTTGAATTTACCATCTTCTTCAACATATGCCTCTCAAGGAATGCAATCAAGGGCAACACCGACACGTTGTCCTGAAGCATTTCAGTTGTCTGCTTCTTGCATGGAACATACCCCTTCAATATCATCAATATCTGACATGCCTAGCACAAGCTATCACAATATTGAATCTCCTGCATCAATGAATCCTGCATATTCTCCTCAAATTGGCGAGGATTCGACTTGGGACTTGAAATCCATCCATATGAAACAGAAGGAAACTATGAGCTCACATTTAGTTTGCCAGGGAAAACTGAATGTTGAGCAAGTTGATCTTACAGAGAGCGGAGAATCCAGCAGGACCAAGTTAGAGCCTCCTGTGGTTAACGGCATAACAAATGTACTGGAGAGTTCATCAAAAACAATTTTCGCAGATGATCAAAGTGAACAGGAATTTTGAAAATTTTTCCTTCATTTTTCTATGCCAATATTTCTTCCATAAGTTTACCCCCCTAACTTTCAAGAGGATAGATATGCATTTTCATTTTAGCCTGATTAATTTTTGTACTGAGAGCAAATGATTGGAGACATCTCATTGTAAAGTTTCAAAGTTAGAAATATAATTTACAAATTTGTATGTTTGTTCCATATTCATGATCCCCAATTCTGAGTTTTGGTGACGGGGACAATTATTTTGTACATTTTTTTTTTCGTTGTAACACAAATTATTCTTCCCTTAATATAGTATTCCCTGTCAACAATATTATTTGGTTTTCAAAGTAGTTTTCTTCATCATCACATTATTTGTCTGTGATTTTCACTGTTAAATTTTGCTGTATAAACTAGTTCTTCCATGATCTTTCTAAGCATAAAGTTTCAAAGTTAGAAATATAATTTACAAATTTGTATGTTTGTTCCATATTCATGATCCCCCAATTCTGAGTTTTGGCGACGGGGACAATTATTTTGTACATTTTTTTTTTGTTGTAACACAAATTATTCTTCTCTTAATATAGTATTCCCTGTCAACAATATTATTTGGTTTTCAAAGTAGTTTTCTTCATCATCGCATTATTTGTCTGTGATTTTCACTGTTAAATTTGCTGTACAAACTAGTTCTTCCATGATCTTTCTAAGCATAAAGTTTCAAAGTTAGAAATATAATTTACAAATTTGTATGTTGTTCCATATTCATGATCCCCAATTCTGAGTTTTGGTGACGGGGACAATTATTTTGTACATATTTTTTTTCGTTGTAACACAAATTATTCTTCCCTTAATATAGTATTCCCTGTCAACAATATTATTTGGTTTTCCAAAGTAGTTTTCTCCATCATCGCATTATTTGTCTGTATTTTCACTGTTAAGTTTGCTGTACAAACTAGTTCTTCCATGATCTTTCTAAGAAGTTTCTTATTTTATTCGCTGATGTAATTAATTTATTAAATCTTTTATGCTCTAACCCGAGATTATACGTTAAATTCTAGGATTTTGACTTCCTATTCTATGGCTTGTCAGTTGTACCACTTGCTTCAATCGGAAATGCTGTGCTTTTAACTTCTTATACTGTGTGGTTTGTCGCTAGGACTAATTGCTGATATAAGATAGTTTAGGGCTTGTTTATCTCCTTCGCTTGAAATACAAGCTATATTACCCTTTTTATAATTATTCTCTGAATTATTATTTACTTGTTTCTTTGTCAAATTTTTTTCCTCGTATTTTCTAGAGTATTAACAAGTATCATCTTGTGTTCCATGGAGCAGGAGGAAAATTGTAATTCTCTGAAACGCTGTCTCAGCTTGTTATTAATATTATTTTTTTTTAAATGTTGTTTCATTGTCTTATTGTCTCATTTTTCTGTGTTTTTGTTGGTTTATCCAGGAAGATTACTTCACTGATGAGGCATTTTATGTTGCTGCTTTCTTAACTTTCATCAGTGAACTTTGTAGTGTGGAGATGCTTTGGCCTGCGATGCTGTTAGGCATGAGAGTATTTTCTCTGTACATTCTCTAAACTGATTCAAGCGTTGGAAGTTTGACAAGGGGTATAGAATTAATCCTACCGCGTGTTTATGTTTTCATTCAGCTCGTAATAACAATTTTAACTACGTTTCTCGCATGTTATGATGGAAGCTTTAGCTAGCATATTATTTTCTGCCTTTCTGGTATGAAATTTATCTATAGTTCTATTTTTCTTATTTGAAATGCACTTCTAAAAAAATGAATTCTCTTTAGGTTGACTTTTATTATTTGTTTTGTCCTAATAATTTTATCTTGTCATCTAGCATATCAAATCATTCTATGTGAAAGGGAGACAGAGTGTGATCTCGGGCATTCTGAGAGGGCAAATAAGGGAAAATGAAAGGGCAAACAAGGGAGAAGGAAACTGGAAAGATCGTGAGAGGGGATCGGGCACGTACGGAGAAAAGTCGGGCTAATGCTATGTTGAAGTACATGAATGATGTGCAATCTCATGCGGAATAGGAGAGCCATGCAAGTTCAGACTGAGTGGATCTTTTGTGCGCCAAGTCAGGCTTGTACGGTCACGCGAAAAGAAGAACCATGTGTTGACCTCATTTTTGGTGAGGTCTTAGTCTCCTACTCTTAGAACCTAGGATCTAGCTTTAGGAGTTCTTATTGACAATCTTAGCGGACTAGCAATGAAGCCCACCTCCCGTAGAATTTCAAGCCACTTCTTGACTCATTTTTGTGAAGAACTCGCATGAGTGGTTCGAAGCACTCAACTTTTAGTTGCAAGGGCTAAGGACCAACATGCAGAGGGCCCGAAATTGAGTTCCTATAGGATCAAATAGCCTTAGGTGAACCCTTTGTGACTCGATTATTCGTGAACGCCGCATTTCACGCACTCACTGCACCACACACAATTTTGGCTTAAATTGACTCGCCCGCAGGCAAACTCGTCCGGACGATCCCGGATGACGAAACGGACCGCGCCGACGCGTCCGGAATGTCGATTTTTGCTAGAAGGGACACCCATATTACCGGGGTTATACGCGCACACAGTTTGCACGGAAATCGATG